TTCAATAATAGTTTTATTCGATTTTTTCATTTATATCTTTGCATAAGTAAGACTTTGAAAGGGGGAGGGGGGTGGCTCCCACAAGACAGGGTGCAAACCGTTGTATAAAGAAGCTGGTATTAACGCACACCCCATGTTCCCCAGGGGGAAACCTAAAGGGCCCCCCCACTTGTGACCCCCAAAAGCGCCCTGTGGTGGTACCACTGGCAGGGAAGATGCTCTGCAGGGGGCGGGGGAGGCCGCCGGGGCCGCATCCATGGAATTCTCCAGATGACATGCGCCAGCCGGCGGAGGAAGGGCGCCAGGCCCCGAGGAGGCGCCCGGCAGTCACAGCGGCCACCGACCAGGAGCGGCCTGGTGCCTCGGGTCATGTGGACAAGCAGCCCACGGGGAGATGCGGTTCCCCTGTGGGCCAGCAAGCCTGCCCCAGCTGCGCGCCCGCTCCCGTGCCAGTGGCTCCCGGGAGTTCTGGAAGGCGTGATGCTGCCGCTGTCGGAACGCCCCCAGGCCAGCTGAGCCCGACGGCGCTTCCCACGAGCTCAGTGGGAACCTGCGCTTCGCGTACTCGGCGAGCAGCTCACCTCCCGATGCCCGACCCTGAGGAAGCGCGGTGGGAAGACCCCCGAGTCCACAGGACTGGACCCCGCACGCACTGTGATTTAGGCGCAGGGCCGACCCCAAGCCTGTCTGCTCGCACACCCCCTCCCCCTTCAGTGTCTCCCTCTGCGAGGGAAGCGCACGCGCTGGCCTCCCACATGGCACCCCACGGGGACCAGGCCAGCCAGCGCCAGGGAGCCAAACCCTGAGCTCATTTCCGCGGCTTCTGTCCCAAACGTGAGGCACTGGGGATCCCACAGACGTCTGAGCGAGCCCTACGTGCGTTTCCAAAAACCCGCGGTGACCTGGGTCCGTGCGTGCTATGGTTTCACGGTGGATTACAGCCCGGTCACAGCCTCAGCTGGCCTGGCACCACCCTGCTGGCCAGCAACCCAGCTGTCCTAACACGGCCCAGGAGGACGTGAACCCATGGGTGCCTCCGCCCCGGCCACGGCCCAGCCACGTTCTCACCAGGCTGACACCTCCTGCACGTGGTGCAGCTGCCCCTAGAGGGACGTCGCTGGGGAGTCCGAGAAGCCCCCGTGACGCAGACCCCGTGCTGCCTCCAGAGGCCGTGTGACCAGTCCACGGCTGTCTCCTGGGGTTGTCAAATGCCAATGAGAGGCCGGCGCCGCGGCTCACTAGGCTAATCCTCCGCCTAGCGGCGCCGGCACACCGGGTTCTAGTCCCGGTCGGGGCACCGGATTCTGTCCCGGTTGCCCCTCTTCCAGGCCAGCCCTCTGCTGTGGCCAGGGAGTGCAGTGGAGGATGGCCCAGGTGCTTGGGCCCTGCACCCCATGGGAGACCAGGAAAAGCACCTGGCTCCTGGCTCCTGCCATCGGATCAGCGTGGTGCGCCGGCCGCAGCGCGCCGGCCGCAGCGCGCCGGCCGCGGCGGCCATTGGAGGGTGAACCAACGGCAAAGGAAGACCTTTGTCTCTCTCTCTCACTGTCCACTCTGCCTGTCAAAAAAAAAAAAAAATTAAAAATGCCAATGAGAGGACACCGTCCCCTGGAGACAGGAGCGAGGGGCCGGGCCTGCACCCAGCAGCCCCGACAGCCGGCCAGGAGGGACCCGGGAGTGCCCTGTGCCGTGGGCCCAGGTTCAGCTGGAACACAGCACCGGGCTTCTGAGGGCTGAGAAAGATGCCCGAGTACCAGGCAGGGGCGCGCACGGCACCCACCCGGCCTCGCCAGGGCCGCCGGGCCAGCCCTGCGTTCACACTGCCTGACTGCGGCCTGGCCGTGGTCTCTGTGCTCACTGAACGACGAGGGGGCCAGCACTTGGGGCAGGGCAGGCCTGAGCCCATCTGTGGCCGCCAGTGCTGAGCTCCAGGGCAGCGGCACCACGTGCAGGAGCTGTCGGCCTGGCTTCGTGTGAGGTCTCGCCGTGAACACCAACTCTGGTCCAGGTGAACTTAACCATGGGTCGCTGTGAGTGTGGCTTTGTTTGCTTGTTTGTTGCATAACCTGGATTTGGGGCTTCCATTCTCTCACACGCGATTTGTACAATCAATATCAAGACATCAGCAACTTGTTTTCTTGACAGACCGCGGGGGCCCGTCTGGCCTGGAGAATTCCGTCCAGCACAGGAACGCGCGCTCAGTTTGCTGCGCCTCGCTCAGTCCCACCGCACAAAAACCAGCCTGGCCCCAGCCTCGTCATGAAGAATCCTCTGTGGCCCGGCCAGAGCCGCCTCCATCACCATTTGTTCCCTTGTCAGACCGGGAGGGGATGGGGCACCAGCATGCTCGGCCAAGGCCAGGGCTTGGCTGACAGACACCAGCTCAGCCACAGCTGCCGCGTCCGCGGGCGGCCCTGGGAGCGTGGCCCTCCCCCGGGACGGAGGGCCCACGTCTCTGGTTTCAGGGCTGGCCCTCGGGGCAGTGCTCCCTGGAGAGCAGGGCGGCCAGTCCGTCCAGCAGCCTCTGCCTCTGGCCAGCTGAAACCTGAGTGACCCTGGAGTCTCCGAGATGCCGCGGCAGGAGCACGCGAGGAAGCTGAAAGCCCTTCGAGAAAGCCCACACTCCGGCACCACTCGGGTGACCGTGTCACCGGCAGGCGCGCCCAAGCCTGTGGCCCGTCCCCCTGCTCAGGCCTTCTTCCCCGGGAGGGCAGTCGGCAACGCTCACGAGCGTGCGCAGCGGTCCCTGCATGACGCACTGAGCCGCGTGCAGAAGCCAACACTGCGGCCCTGGCGGGCAACAGAGCAACGCCGGACCCGCTGGCCGCATCACGGCGCCAGGGAGCGCCTTCGCGGCACTGCTCCGGACTGAGCGCGGCCGGGAAACAGCCCGCCCGCGGAGGCAGCCCAAGCTGAGCATCCCTAGGGGACGGAGCAGGCGTCTCACCGCACGGCACGCTGCCCAGGCCCACAGAGCCAATGTGCAGAGCCACAGGTGAGGGCAGACGAAGCCACCAGGCACCTCTCGGGTCCAGGGGCCCTCAGCCTGGCTGCTCAGCCGCGTGTCCTGGCTCTGTCTCACTGCAGCAGCAGAGCCTACCTGACTTCACGGAGGACACTCTGACATCGGGAGGCTCGGCTTCTCTGGCGCTGTGGCCGGGAGCCGAGCGCCGCGGGCTGGACACCAGGCTCGGCGCCGACCCTCCCTGCGCGCAGCCCCGGCAGCCGCTCACCTGTGGCCACCCCCTCTCCAGCTAAAGCTGACATGACTAAGGCTCCCAGTGGAGGTCAGGGTCCACCCCTCCCCCCCCAAGACGTTGTGCAGCGTGGCACGGAGTCTGTCTGCCATGCGCAGTGCCGTGTGCCAGCCCAGGGCCAAAGCCAGCAAGCGCAGGGCGAGGGCTTCCTCTGCCGCCCCTGGAAGGAGCCCCTGCTTTCCATCCGTTTGCCCTGGGTGAGAAATTCCCAGAAGGCAGCATTCGCTTAACTTCTGATGTGAGCGCAGAGAACAGGGCGCAAACGGCAGCAGCCAGCGCACACCCGGGCAGCGCGGGCTGACTCCTCCCTGCGCGGGCTGACTCCTCCCCAGCCGCTCCTGTCGGCCCAGAGCTCGCAGGCAGGGGTGGAGAGCCGGCAGCACCAGCAGGCTGCTGCCTGCTGGGGGCCTGGCACAGCCCTCCCTGGCTGGCACCCGGGCGCACGGATGGGAACCGGGAAAGCAAAAACCAGGAGCTCCCGCAACAGGCGCCAGGAGCCCGGCGCCCAGAGCGGAGCGGCTGTGGCCAGGAGGGAGGCCGTGGGACGGGCCCGGCACCTACCTGCGATGCCCTGCAGCAGGCCACACACGTTGAAGATGCTCTTCTTCATGACGCTCTGCACGCACATGGAGAAGACCGACACCAGCGCCACCGCGCACAGCACGAAGATGCCGGCAGCCAGGAAGATGGCCGTGGCCTGCCAGAAGCCGCTGGCGATCTCGCCGAAGCTCTCAGCGTAGGGCCCGCACAGCGTGTCGCGCGGCACCTGCTGCACGCCCGGGTTGCGGATGCAGCGCGTGTACAGGCCCAGCGTCGGGTGCGGGCGCTCCAGGGCGCCCGGGCCTGGCGGCTCGGCCCCGCCGCGGCTCCGCGCCTTCCCGATCAGCCAGTCCGCGCTCATGAAGGCGATCAGCTCCGCGAAGGCCACCACGATGCTCAGGAGCGTCCAGAGCATGGAGCGGCAGGTGACGATGACGGGACACATGGCGGGCTCCCGGCCGGGCTCAGGGCTCCGCGGCGCTCCTCCCGAGTGGCGGCCGGGGCAGCGGGCGGCATGCACGGGCCTCACCTGTGGGGACAGAGCAGAGGGCGTGAGCGGCTGTGGGCCTGCACCAGGCGCACGCGTGGGACCACTGGCTCTGTGCAGGCGCAGGCCCGCCCCGGGACCCCAACCACAGGCCCGGGACTCCTGCTTCTCTCAGGTGCCAGGCCCGGGGCAGGAGCGCGCGCCCTGGCTGAGCCGCCCTGGGTTCTGCACTGGTCACTGGCACTCCACGAGCTCCAGAAGCCGCGCGGCGCAGGGCTCTAGAGGCCTGCGGGGGCCTCCGGTGAGGGCTGGGTCCCTAGGAAGCACGCAGAGCGCTGCCGCCCGCACCACCTGGCACCCGTGTCTGTACACAGATCCCGTCTGAGAGAGGTCACGACTTCCGTGGGCTTACTCACAGGGGTCGCGCGGGACCACCTGGCTGACTGCTGACGGCAAGTGCCGCCTGGTCTGCCGCATCGCCCCCATCCGCCCCGCAGGTGCTCCCCCGCCCGGCCCCTCAGACAGGGGCCCTGTCAGGGTCAGCCAGGATGAAGACGTCCAGCCTTGTGGCCCCTCTGCACGACTGCCCGAGGCGGTGTCCGGCCCACAAGGGCTACCGGGACGGCTGTGGTGAGCAGGGCGGGACGCTGGGAGAGGGAAGCCAGCGCCCAGCTCCAGCTGCCACCGGGACACCGCAAAAGGCCGTCTGCTAAGGGCCGAAAGGCGTCATGAGCGCTGGCTCAGCCGTGGCACCCATGTGCTGAGACACCCCCAGGGCACTGCTTTCGCACACGGTGCTGGCTGGGGACCAGGCCCTGCACTGTCAGGGTGCCTGTGCGTGACCATGTGCACGGAGACGGGGCTGAGCCGGGCACTGCGGCAGGGCCAGGCGTGTGTCCACCGAGAGATTCTAGGAGCCGAGGCCACGCTTCTAATCCCGCTGTAGATTAGAAGGCAAGGAAAGATGTGAGGTCACGCCAGGCCCGCTGGCCAGCCAGACACCCGAGAACAAAGGTCTCATCCACTCAGACAGGCAGATGGAAAGGGCGAGGGCATGAGTCCAAGGCGCTTCCAGGAGCCAACACCCTCCCTACCCCACCCCAGCCTGGCCAGCTGGCACGTGGCCACCTGTGTACCCAGCAGGGCTCCGGCTTTCAGGACGGTGGGCGGGAGCAGAGGGTGAGCACCCCACGACCCTGCGCACACGAGCACTTGGTAGCGTCTTCCCGTCTGTCCATCTGCAACACACACATTCCCACACCATGTTGTTTCTGGGCCATGTGACAATGAACTTGACCCCTCAAGACCACAGCATATACCTTCTAACAGTAAGGGCGTTGTCCTACCTACCCACAGCAAGTTCACACCCCCGGCAGAAGTGGCCATCACCCCCACACAGCCAAAGCTCGGTCCACACGCAGGGCTTCCCCTACTCGAGAGCAGTCTCTGCTCCGCCCCACTCCCCGACGCTGTCTTCTAGAAGGTTCTAAGCCAGGTGTCTCACAACGACAGCCTGGATGTGTCTGTGTCCTCAGGATGTCCCTCAGGCCCATTCCCTACCCTGGGTTCCAGGCAGCAACGTCAAACTGAAGGCTGCTTTAGGTTCCGATCACACGTGTCCAGTGCGGATCCTCTGTGGGGACACTGTGTAACTGCACCGCCCTGGGAGGCATGTGGTGGTGCCACCTGCACACGTGTGCACACGTGTGTCTCTATAGCTCCACCCTCAGCGTCGGCAGTTCCATCTGCACATGTGTGTCATGTGTGTGTGCCTCCCATGGGGCTCCCTCAGCACTGGTGTCTGTCTGCACACGTGTGCATGCCTACGAGAGGGACCCGCACGCCCCACGCCCTCCACATTCTGGTCAGGGCGGGCGCTCAGCACCGAGAAGGGACGCTGTCTGCAAGTGCAAGGACCTCCCTTCTCAGAGCAACATGCTGTGGTATCATTGCACACATTCTGCGATCGGTGGCAGACAAAACGTTAACCTGGAAACACACGCGTGGTTAAAGAACGGCGACGGCGCATCCCAAAGCTCCCGGCCTCCGCCGGGTGTGCAGCAATGCCATCACGGCAATACATCATCTGGGAACCGCTCCTGACCTGCCAGAGAGCTCCAGTCTCCAAGCCACGGAGGCAGCCGCGATTCACCCCGGGCCCTGACGCCACAGCCACCACCTCCCCGTGGCCTCGCTGGGGCCACAGAGAGCAAGGAACCAGGAAAGGACGTGCGACGACGCAGAGCAGAGCCCCAGCTCAGCCAGCGACCGAACGAGCCCCGTTCATGCCGCGCTGCCCGGTGCCGGCTGTGCAGGGCCAGGGCCACTCCCTGCCACGCTCGGCTCGGAGCCACGCCTCTGCTGTGTCCACTTCCCACGCTTCTGAAAGCCACGTGCTCCGAGAAGGACCTCAACAGGGCCTCGCCTTCATGTTGGGACACATAGCCGCCCAGGGGCAAAACACGCAGGGGCCGTCCCCAGCCAGCGCCTTCCAGTTCGGTGTCTGACGGACAGCCTCCCTGATGCCTTATTTCTCTGGGATTTAAGAGCCGTGCAGCACGGCGTGATGAGGAACGCACGCCCGTATGTGACGGGAGACTCACAGGTCCGTGAGCTGCGTCCATGCCAGTGCATCCCTACGATTTCACAGCCAGAGGGGAAGCCACCACTCTCCCTAATGAGAACGCCGACTTCAGAACTGTGCTCAGGTTCAAACTTTCTTCATTCATTAACCAGAGGAATTCCCCTGATGTGTGGGATTGAATTCTGACTCACAGACCGATGGGGTGAAGCGCAGGTTCCACAGGCATGCACGCTGGGGGAGGGAGGGGTGCTCTCAGATCCAGCTGCACCCGGAGCGGCCCCGGCTCAGGCATCCCCTATGTCTGCACCCTGATGCCCCTGGGGTCCTAGCGGGCAGGAGCGGCCCCAGCTCAGCCATCCCCTGCCTGACCCCTGATGCCCCTGGGGTCCTAGCGGGCAGGAGAGGCCCCGGCTCAGGCATCCCCCGCCTGACCCCTGATGCCCCTGGGGTCCTAGCGGGCAGGAGAGGCCATGCTATCCACACCTCAGCCTGGATGAAGTCACTGCAGGCCCGGCGCTCAGGAGGGACCCAGGAAACCCCTTTAGGGGGCTCCTAACCCTTGCCCTCAGTCATGTGACCCGGGACGCAGGGCTTCATTGGCACAGCCCCTCCCACCAGCCGGGCATGGCGAGCAGAGACAGCCCACTGGCCCAAGCTGTGGGGAGCTGACCTGCATCCACCCAGGGCACGTGCTCCCAAGGGGTATCTTTGTTATGGATCTAACGAGATGTCTTGTAATCAACCAAGCGATTCGGATGAGGTGTGAAGCCCCGCACTCCCGGTGAGGAGGCTGTGCGGCGGGTGCCGACTCCAGTGGCTCCTGGTTGTATTTGCTATCATCAGTGAGATCATGGACGAGGTGAAACTAAAGAACAAACACAAAAAACCCTCAACTGGGATCTGCCCGCCATGACGACCGCGACGGCACAGGCCGGGGAGTTTCTGGGGAGACCCTCCCTTGGTGGTCAGCGGAGTCACTCTACGTGCACAGCAAGGGTGACAGGAACAGCACACAACAGCACGTGCCCAGCTCCGCCCCTGCTGGCTTCCGGGCCCGGGCCCCAATGGCGGCCATCTGTGGGCGGTGCCCTGTGCGCAGGCCCAGCCACGCCCACCCAGACAGCCCAGGGCCGCAGACCCCAGCAGGACGAAGGCAGAAGCTACCTCCAGCCGCATGACGGCCCTCGCCGTTCCTCCCAGCACCAAGAATCCCCTTCTCGTTCACCTCACCCTTCTCGAAAGCAGAAGCAGGAAGAGCAGGGCCCGGGGCTGCAGAGGCCTGGCTGGCACCGAGCGCCACAATTCCACGGGGTGCAGAACAGGAGGGGCCCAGCCGCTCCAGCAGGGCCCGGGGCTGTGGGGGCCCTGGCACCGAGCACCACTATTCCACGGGGTGCAGAACAGGAGGGGCCCAGCCGCTCCAGCAGGGCCCGGGGCTGTGGGGGTCCTGGCACCAAGCGCCACGATTCCACGGGGTGCAGAACAGGAGGGGCCCAGCCGCTCCAGCAGGGCCCGGGGCTGTGGGGGCCCTGGCACCGAGCGCCACGATTCCATGGGGTGCAGAACAGGAGGCTCCAGCAGGGCCCGGGGCTGTGGAGGCCCTGCCACCGAGCGCCACTATTCCACGGGGTGCAGAACAGGAGGCTCCAGCAGGGCCCGGGGCTGACTGCACGACCGGACGCAGACACAGAGGCGCGGCTTCCTGGGAACCGCTCCCGGCCTCGCTCTCACGTGCGCTCTGTGGGGGCCCCGGAGCTGCACCCCACTCAGGGGACCCAAACGAGGCCACGGCCCCAGTGGCCCCACTGCAGGGTTTCTGTGGGTGCAGCCTGAAGAGGGCCTGGGAGGACACCGCGGGGGTGCTCCCCGGTGACCCCGGCACGCGCTCGCCTTGGCAGACGGGCACAGGAAGTTCTGTTGATGAATTCAACGATTCACGGTTCAGGCCGTGTTGCCGAGGCCGCGTGTGTCTGCGGGGATGACCGTGTGGCAGCCGTCCTCGGCTCCTGGTGTCTCAGCCGCGGCACCTCCCACACGGGGGCCGGGGACTCGCTGCTGGTGGGCCACTCCGGGGAACTGGGCACGTCCAGCAGAGGCGGTCTCCCGGCTTCCACCGTGAAAGGGCTTTGGGCGCGGGTGGCAAGAACAGCTCTGCTCCGGGAGCTGTCCACCTGCAGTGGTCGAGGCCCAGGGTCTGCACTCAGACCGCCAAGTCCTGGTCCCCACCTACAGCGGCCGGCCTCTGCATGCCTCAGTTTCCCCGGCTGACGTGGGGACTCTGCCGCCCGCTCCTGCGTGCTGATCCCGAGGTGCCACGTGGGGAGCCTGGCACAGTGAGCACGCGCTGAGGGGCAGCAATGGTAACGGCCAGGGCTGTGGGAGACAGAATGGAGCAGCGACAGAGGTCCGGGGCTCGGGCTCAGCGGCCGGACCAGTGGGCTCCTGAGCACCGTGAATCCCGACAAGGAAATCACCTTGTTT